ATGCAACTGGTAGTCAATACTGTCTTCAGCGGCCAGCGAAAGAGCTGAGCATACACGCTGTAAACCTCTCAGCAGACCTACGTGACCGTAAGTGCCCGGTGCAACAGCGCGTATGCAAGAGTTCCGTGGGGTGCGCATCGGCGTCCGGTAATCCTTTGGCAAAAATGGCATCCATGGTTACACAAGCCCTAACAGTGGACGAACAAATGATGCTAGTACCTGAGATTTCGCAATCCATTTTCGCAAGTTATGGACCACTTCATTGGGGTCTCTGTCATCTTCACAGCAGTTAGTAACGTTAGTATATGGCTGAACTGTGTAAGCAATGATAGTTAATATATGTTAAACGTCCACTTACTTTTCTGTCGTTTAGCTGCTGACAACAGAAGCACTTCTTAGTAGCTGAATCCTGATGCCATTGTTTTTGCTGCAAGGTAAATGGTGATACGTGACGGAAACTGCGTGGTTAATTGATAACTTTGTCGACGTGACATGCTGAAAATGAACACATATGTATTAAGCAATCTATAACAAGAAAACCTGCTAGATGCGCCTGCGGAAACGCAGTTTCAAGTGAGCTACACAATAACTTGAAACCAAGCGGTACCAGCGACCAAGGTTACAAAATCGAAACTGGCCAAATAAAGCGACCTGCTGACGCATTTAAACCACTTGGGTTATGGTCAAATGATATCAAATATAATGCATACCAACTATTAATTTATTAACAAATGTCTAACTAAATACATTTAGCTGCAAGTAATGCATTAATACCTGAACTGGACATCTGTCCAGTTTATGTCCAGTTTGCTACGTTTAGTGTTACGTTTGTGCTACTAGGGAAGTGCTGGCGAACTTACCAAGCGGCTTCATCAACCGGCACCTACGAAAGCTATCGAGCGGTTAGAAATAAATGTAACCATCATCTTAGAACTCTTCTTCTTCAGTACGAGGAGGATTTGCCTAACGCAGCCGTAACAAACAAAAAACCCATCTAGCACATGAAGTCCTTCTTCCGGTCGTCAACGTCCTTCAAAAGTCCTTCAACATACTTCAGTTATTTATTGGTGGCTACTTGATCTACTCCGCAGTTCAGCAAGGGATGCGCATATGTGTGTAGGTTACGTTGACTGATAAATAATGATAACATTGTTTACCCGCTTTATTCCGTCGAAGAGTCGTACGTGATTTCTTAGAAAGGATCATCTTCCCTCCTTTTGATTTTTGCCGCGCTTTTAAATTTTCAGGTACCTCTAGCACTGCTCTTTTTGGTTACTAATTCTGCTTCCCTGTAGTGCGCTTCCTTTTCCGTTGTGCAATTTCGATATTTTACAAACATGTTTGAGTTGGTAAAAAGCCGTTTCGACGTGTGTTAGATATAAGGAGCACCGTAAGTGTTTTGGTTATAATATTGCAATCATACTTTGTTTACCTTGGCACTATTTCCCAAGCGTTACCGTTGCTTTGCCCCATAGGGCACCTAAAGATGCTATCGCCATAACGCGGAGTTGGCGCAGCGTTATCATCCCTTGCGCGATTACTCCTGCTCTACACAGGTAGCTTCACTGTGTGGTTCCGTTCTCTTTTGCGGGGCGCGTGATATGTGATTTGCAGTTGCTGCTGTCAACGGGTTTCATGCTTGCTGCATGCTCTAGGCCCATATCTGTTGAATTAGGGGCTGTTATATGTGACGCGCCTGCTCGAGCATATGTGAAGAGGACCAAAAGGCACTCAGGTTACAGCAGTTGCGGCAAATGTATTCAGAAAGGTACTTATGTCAAATGGAAGGTTACATTCCCATCTACTACATGCCGCCTTAGGTCACATAAATCGGCTATGAAAAGCAAGCGATCTTTGATGTCCCATTTTGAATACCTCGGTGTTGATATGGTTTCGAAATTTCCCATTGACTACATGCATTGCATGTGCCTAGCAGTGTGTCTAGGAGCCTCAGGCATCAGCGATGATCTCCAATCATTCCGTGTGGGTGATATACTTTGCCAATGTGTGTGAGTCTCTGTTAATGACTTCTTGGCTATTGTTCTCCTTATGCACACCTTCAGAACTCCGGATGGTAATACGTGAAGCATTGTGCATGTTCATGGTCCCTAAATGTTCATTTTCACTTTGAGTTACTTGTGTTTTTTCATTCTTTTCCTGACTATTTATTTTAATGGCTATGCTTATTTTTTATTTCCTCGGACGGATTTTTTAAGTTCTTATTTTTCCTGTTGACTGAGGGTTCTTTCTCAACGGGTTGCACTTATCCTGTTATGCGGGGTCCCTTATCACCTCTTCATCGAGTATGATCGCGGGGCGTCCATCAGACACATGTATTCACTTCACCTAATGAGGGACGGTACATACTCATAAGGTTGTTCCATATCAATACTGTTTTGGGCAATCGTGGCTGATGCGGTACCAAGCAACCTTGGAACGGCGGTACAAGATCGTAACTGTATTCGGCCGATAGGCATATGAAGGGCTGTTAACAGAGTGAATACGTCTATGTGCAGCAGAATGGCAAACCACAGGGCGCTGAATGAACTCTTACTGGCAAAGATCTGCGTTGACAAGAGCTCGACAAACGATGTAAAACAATATGAACAACATGGAATGGCGTTTACCAGCACCGACGCAGGTAACATGCTCATTATCTTACACATGTTGACAGGTTTTCAATGGCGATGCATTCAACGGCACACCTTTTCAGGAGACAGCACAGGTGTTTCGGAGTGGGGGTTCATGTACAGACAATATTTATTAATTAAAAGTTTCGTTGCTATTACATTGTTCTCGTAATCAGTGTTTGTGCAAACGGACTTGCATAAGTCATCTATTTCAGCGTTATGGCTTCGTTAACATATTGCGTCGTTTCCCTGAGCACGTCCACCGGATGCTCGGTTACAACCATAAGCAGCTCTTGGCTGCTTGGGGACGGTCGGCAGGCGTTGCTACCAAACGTACCCCCTTCGGAATACCTTAACGCTGTGAGGGAACACCGGCCGGCGGACGAGAACTGTAAGTTGGCCCGTGTGACTATACTTCGGCGAACCAGTAAGTTCTGTGCTGTCATAAGTCTTCAGTGGATTTCGATCAGGCTGCTGCAATAGCAAACTCCGTCGACCTTTCGAACCTGCCGGAAGACACGGATTCAACACTCGACATGGGCACACCCCACGTAGACTCATGTGAGTTGCCACATCTATATAACATTTCATCACAGCCGTATGCCACGTCGTTTGATTTCGGACGACGATGACTTTGAGCCACCCAGGAAACGCATGGTTCCCACAGCCGTTCCATATGGCTCGCCACCTATCTGTTCTTTAACTGAGTTGGCCCGCTCGATGGGTAAAAACTCACGTCAGTGGTCTTCCCAGCAATACAACATGGGTGGATACAAACCAGCTTATACAGGTAAGGGGTACATTTTGCTTAATGTTAAACTACAGCGTTCAATACCGCATCTAACTGTGGTGAAAAGTCGAACCCACAGATTCCGAAAACGGCATCGGGTTGGTGCTTACACTTTGTAGCTTGATTGTCCTAGTACTAGAGTCCACCTCCGATTCCTCCTTCATCACCGTTCCTACAAGCAATTGGAATGCTATTCACCGTAAGCATGTACGTGAGGTTTTACCATTTTTTGCAGGCGATATAGACCAAATGAAGAATGAACTGCAGTCCATAGATGGTAACTTCCTACATTTCTAAAACAGGGTTTACGTTTGCAGGTAATGTTCAGAAAATTATGGAGACACTGGAGTATATGAAGAGCTCCATGAGATCGATGGCTGCAACAATTGCCGGGCAACCAGGGCAGCAGGCAACGCAGCTTCCTTTGCCAATTACATCGGTGGAGGAACTGCAGTCGTTCGATATACTAATGCAGGATGCAGGACGCAGGCAACAATTGGTAGGATGCTTTGATACCTCACATATGCATGCAGCATACTTATCTGGAAGGTGTGCATGGAGAAACGTTGTCGGAGACCGTACGCCTCATGATGCAGCGCCTTCTAACGCGGTCATTGATGGCGGAGATCAATTACTCCGGTTCCTGCAACAAACACGCATTCCGGAAAACGAAGCTGTTCACCGAAACGCAAGGTAAGCAACATCTTTGCCCTTTCATTCTTGTCCTAGCTGCTCTATTAAAACGTTTCTCCGGAAGCAACGTGTCACCCGATGACGTTACACAATATGTAAGGAAATACTTGAAATCCATTCGCGGCAATGAATGGCGCGACACTTCCAAAGGTTGTGCAAGCACCCAACAGGTATGAAATGGTGGATAACTTAATAACATTCCTTACATAAGGCTTCCCAATTGGTCGTCTTGGACTGCCCCGGCGACTGCATGGAAGAAGGATAACGGTTTCAAACGGAACACGGACCTCTGTTATCAATATTGATTTCCTTGCAATTAATGTATCCACCACTATACTTCGGTAGACAGACCTCTTACTGTGCAGTGATCAGATTCCATTCCCTGTCTTTGTGCTCTGTGGGACGGAAATACTAAGGCATCGCTATGACTAGTGGGACTGCATGTACCATGCATGTGCGCCATGTTAAACATGGTTTCCTCCATTCCGTGGCAGCAGGCTGTGCACCATGATACCACGCTTTCCCCTGTCATTCATTTTGTTACTCCGCAAGCGAAAATGTCATAGGAGCGGTTATTGAATTCATCGAGTTCACTGAGTGGTAGAGAGCAGAAGGGGGTCCGGTGAAAGCTTCTTCGCTTCCCGATCTTCCGAGGCTTGTAGGCGAGTTGGCTCTCATGGCTCAGGATGTAATACCAGCCCTGCAGGATCCTGGAGTACTCAGTAGGATGATGTCTAGCAAACGTTTGAAACTCGCTTCTGATTTCGCATTGACAATCGGATCCGGCGGTAGGTTCCAATCATTAATTACTCTAGTAGAGAGAGCAACGTCTGAGAGGACTTTGAGCCTCCTCGGTTTAAAAAGCTTCCAGCTGTGACCTCGAGTCGAGCTGCCAAGTCTTAGCTGAAAGAACTGCCTTAGCTCGTTTCCCAGTTCTCCTCGTAGGATGCGCCTGGTATAGATGAGGTCTCCGCGACGTCGGCGATAGTCTAAGGGAAAAAGGTTCATCCTCTGTAGTCGGGTGGGGTACGGGAGGTTGCGTAGCTCAAGGACAAATTTCGAGGCTCATCGCTGAATTTTTCTATCTTGTTACTTTCATGTTTAGATAAAGGGGCTATGGCCGGATGTCCGAATTTAAGAATGAGACGGATATGGGAGGTGAAGAGAAGTCTAAATATTTGCGGCGTCATTTTAGAATGATCTCCTTATGGCGCCCCACATTCTGTTCGCCGCAGCAGTTATCTTTAACGTGTCAAGGGTCGTTTTGAGATCAGAGGAGATTATTGTCCCCAGGTCCTTTTCCTGTTTGGCAATCTTGAGTTGGTGCCCGCCAATGTGATAGATGCTCAGCGCTTCAGCAGCACCTATAGAAAGGACTGAGCATTTATCTTAGTTGACCGGCAAACCCCATTCGATAGACCAAGAGTGTAGTAGATCAAGCGTTTCCTGTAATTGGTCGGCGTCTTCGA